GCACAGCCTGTTTGGCAGGTGGGCCCTGAGAATGAACAGGCTCTGTGTGCAGTGGCCAAGGGCTGAGCCTTGCAGCCTGCAGCTGGCCTCCTGGCTGCTGGTGCTGCTTTGGCTGAGGCATCCATCTTTGGCTTCTTGGACTCTCCGGCAACTGTTGAATCATTTGCTTTTTCTTCTCCTAAGAGACAGTCAAGGGAGCTGGGGGGCTTGTTATTTTGGGAAGTCTGCCACCCTTACTGTGCCTTACAGTCCTGATTGAGTGACAGATTTATTTGACCGGTTGTGATATGTGGTTGTTTGCAACTCACTGGTTGGACAAATTATTTGTCATTTCTACTTGAAAGGCTGACCATCTGAGAGCCATGACTAAGTGAGTGTGTGGATTAGAAGGTCATCCATAGTTGCCTCACATCTTGCCATAGATCATCTTCTGATCTTCCTGTTTTTATTGTTTTGATCTAAAAAAAAAAAGTTTTAAAACTGTGAGAGCTGAAAATTGGGAAACGAGCGGACTATTTATAGACCCCAGAAGCAGCTGAGCACTTTCGTGACAAACGCACACACACATTGTGTGAAAATCTCAGTCCTTTGCTCTTAGTGACTTGGAATTTGCTGAACTCCAGGCACCCTGGATTCGGTTTCCTGCTGGGATTCGGTCATGGTGACATTCTGACTTGGCAGTGTGAGAACCACTCTGCTGACTCATGCTTCTCTTAACTCCGTCCAGGTCTCCACAAACCTAACAACCAGAATGTGGTCACTTTGCAGGTGTCTGGAACTGTTCCCAGGGCCCATTGCTAAGGAAAGAGCCCCATCATAAACTTGGTGCTTTACATAAATGCAAAGCGATTTCGTCTCTCCCGTCAGGGCCCCACCTCTGGTAATTTAAGTATTTAATGAAGATCAGCTCTGAGTCTCTGAGGATTTCATGTCAGTGTTTCACTTGATTCTCACAATGGCCTTTGGACGTGACTACTGGCACTGGCCTTCTTTTCAGGTGACAGCTGTTTGTGTGAACTCGGATGCAGCCACTCAGTAAGTGGTAAAGCTGTGATGGGGTCCGGGTGGTCTGATGCCAGGGCTCATGTTATTATTAGGCATGAGTCATTCTAAGTTCAAATGAGTCTAGTTCTTGGACACTCACATCAGGAAGTCACCTGGGAGATGTGTGAAGCAGGTTGCAGTTGGGGATAGGGAAAATGAGTGTGTCTGGGGCCCGTGAGAGGGAACCCACCAGACCAAATTCCTACAAAACAAGTAAGCAGTTGAGCAAGCTTTAAAAGCCAGGGCAAAGAACTCACGCATAGACAAAGTGTAATAATTTGTGTTTCAAAGATCCCCAGTGAATATGAATATTCTGTCCCTTAGGCAAAAGGTGAGCTCCAGGCTAGCTAGGGCTCCATGGGGAGACCCTGTCTAAAGAAACAAACAAGGCAAACAGGAAGGATAAGATTTCAGTGGTGGAAGCAAGAGACAAAAAGCAAAGATCAGAGGGGCAGATGGCATCAATCGCCGACTCCCCAACGCCTAATGAAACATATTTTCAAAGGCTTGGAGCAAACAGCAGCAGAGAACGTAGCAGTGAAAAAGTAATTTTATGTAAAGGAAAGTAGCGCAGCAATTCATAGGTTTACCCCTGACAGCTAAATCATAATTTCTTATGCACATAAACTTGAAATACAATCTATCTGAAAATAAAACTCTGTGAAGATAAATGATGACAGAATGCTTAATCAGAGTTCTTCGATGTGCCATTTGAGGGAATGATGCATTTCATAATTAAACCAGACTTTTTTTTTTTTGCGGTCACAAGAGAGAATTTTGCAGCCATTAATTTATTTTTGTTTAATAATATTATTATTTTTCCATTGCGATGTCTTGAGCATCTCATCATGTTGGTACATGCAGATCTCTCTGGTTCCTTTTGTCTGTTGAGGATATATAGTGCGGGCATATAGTTGTTTCTATGATCTTGTTATTGATGCAACATTGAAGCTGTTTATTGTTTGCTAAGACAAACAATGTTGCACAGAACAACTTTTGTGCTTGCTTCCAGTGGTGACCAAGCCCTCCTGATAGGTTTCTGCTCTTCTAGAGATGATTGACAGCTCCTGCTAGCCCACCTCTGGATACATTGCAGGGATACTCCTCCATGCAGCTTTGGCTAGGCATTTCTGACTGGTCTGGCCTAAATTCTCTTAAAATTATTGTCTGATTGGAGACTGATCTTGAAAATGTTTTCTTCACATATATTCATTGTACAAGATGGTGGCTTCATAATGACATTTCATTGAATGGGTCAGGTTCTAGGACCATATTCTCCTCTCATTACCCTCTTGTGGTCCCTGTTTCTAGTTTCTTCTTCTGTTCACATAGTTCCCCTGTGACTATTCTTATCCAGTCCTTCCCTGCCTTCTATAACAGACAGAAAAGTTTTGTCATACTTGGAAAGGTCTGCCTGCCTTTTACTTCACTTCCCAGGGCTCTTTGTAGCTGTTTTCCCCAAGTCTCTTGACCACCTCGATCTTTATCCTGGTGTCTGCTTCTGAGAAGACCTGAGCTGACCCAACCCCTGACCACCTTAGTCAGCAATCCTTTAGGAGCAGCAACAACAACAAAAAACCTGGAGAAACACAAATTTGGGGCCATCAAGGACTATATATTTATACACTATATATAAAAATATGTTATTATATGTTATGTATTGGCCTGTGTAGTCATTTAATATTTTAAAAAGTAGTTCTGGGGATCAAACTTAGGGCTTCTCACATGCTAGGGAAGCTCTCTGTCACTTCACTATATCCTGAGCCCATTTTAAAAATGGATACAATGTATATAAAAAGTACACTCATCATAAATAAACAGCACAGGGGATTCTGGAAACTGAGAACCCAGAAGCAACAGCCCATCACTGGCTCCTCAGAAACCCCTCCTTGTGCCTCCCCATACCACCCACCCCCCAGCCCATACTCATTTTTCACCTCTCCAAAGCTAAACAATTTCTGTCTTTAAAAAAGCTTGTTTTTTATTTTTTTTACTTTGTGTATGTGTACACCACAGCATGCATGTGGAGCCTTTCCTTCTGCTATGTATTTCAGGGATTAAATTTAGGTCATCAGGATTGGAGGCATGTTTGTTAACCCGATAAGCCATCTTGCTGGCCCACCTTCTTTTACTACCTTAAATTAGTTTTGGTTGCACTTGAAAAAAATTTATAACCATTCAGTATGTTTCACAACCATATAATATGTATCCGTTACTACTGGCTTCTTTTTCTCAACATTATATGTGTGAAATTAACCCATATCTCTTTGTGGTCACTGCTGTATAATAGTCCATCTCATGATTAAATAATGATTTATTCATTCATTTTATTGTAACTCTAATGTCCAGTTTCTGTCTATTAAAAACAGTACTGAAACTCCCTCACCTAAGAAACTCTCAGGGAACATTGGGGGAAGAGGGAGTGGAAAGATTGTTAAGAGCCAGAGGACCAGGGAGTTTACTCTGAGACTGTCTCCTAGTAATGTCAAAAGCTATACCCATTAAAGTCTCACCAACATGACGGCCCAACCAAACATGTGTTGAAGAACAGCAACAGACATGCCAAAGTGGATGGGGACAAGTCCATTAGGTCTCCACCCTACCCAAAGAACGACAGGTAGCTAAAGAATGCTGAGAACAGGAGAAATAGTCTTCCCCAGAGCAGAGCACACCAATTGGTTATCCAACACCAAATGATCAGCCCTGCAAACATAGATATCAAGCAACATTATAACGACTGAGCAGGCCATATTTAGGAATGCATATGTGTACACAACAGCAATTAATGAAAAAAGATCATGAATTTGAAAAAGAGCAAGTAGGGATCTATGGGACAGTTTGAAGGGAAGAAGCGGAAGGGCATGAGTGATTTAATCATAGTCTCAAAAATAAAAGAAATAATTATAAAAAGACAGTGCTGGAATGAACAATCTTGTGCAAATCTTGGTGAACATGGGCCTGGGTATTTGTTAAGCTGTGAGAATCAACTTGCAAATCTCCTCCTTTACAAAAACACACCCAGACTCAGAGCCTGTGCCGTTAATCTCCATTGTCAACTTGACTGGATTTAGAAGCATGATAGAGACACATGTCTGAATGTTAGCTGAGGAGAGAAAGACCACCCTGAATGTGGGTATCATCTCTTGGCTGAGGTCTCAGACTCAGTGAAAGAGAGAAAGCAAACTGAGTGTCAGCTGCCTTTCTCTGCTCCTGCATCCTGGTCTTCCAAACCTGCACCTGTTGAATGTTCTAGAACATTAACTTCACTTCAGGACTTCCCTAGTCCAAAGCTCCAAACTCTTCCCCATTCCTCCAAAGAACTAAGAACCTTGTTCTCCTGCTTCAAAGCTTTCCCCTCTGTGGTGGCCCCCACAGACTCATTTATTTGAATGCTTAGTCACCAGGGAGTAGGACTAGAAGGATTAGGAGGTGTGGCCATTGTAGCTAGAGTTTTCCTGCTTTGCCCACAGTCAGGACAAATCTTTGTCACCCGCCAGTCCCACAGCCGCTCAGACCCAACCAAGTAAACACAGAGACTTATATTGCTTACAAACTGTATGGCCGTGGCAGGCTTCTTGCTAACTGTTCTTTTATCTTAAATTAACCATTTCCATAAATCTATACCTTGCCACGTGGCTGGTGGCTTACCGGCGTCTTCACATGCTGCTGGTCATGGCGGCGGCTGCAGTGTCTCTCTCCGCCTCAGCCTTCCGCTTCCCAGAATTCTCCTCTCTCCTTGTCCCACCTACTTCCTGCCTGGCCACTGGCCAACCAGTGTTTTATTTATTGACCAATCAGAGCAATTTGACATACAGACCGTCCCACAGCAGGCCATGTTGGAGGAAGTGTGTCACTGGGGATGGCCTGGAGATTTCCAAAGCCCATGCCAAGCCTGGAGTCTCTCTCTCTCTGCCTACAGATCAAGATGTAGCTCTCAGCTACTGCTCCAGTGCCTACCTGCATGCTGCCATGCTCCCTGCCAGGATGGTGATGGATCTGAACTTCTGAAACTGTAAGCAAGCCCCTAATTAAGTGCTTTCTCTTAGAAGAGTTGCCTTGGTCCTGGCATCTCTTCACAGCAATAGAATACTGAGTAAGATGTCCTCCATGATAGACTGTACTTTCAAACTGTAAGTCCAAGTTAACCCTTCCTTCCTTAACTTGCTTTTTGAGGTATTCTCTCTCAGCAACAAGAAGAGTAACCAGTGCAGAAATTTGGATGAGGTATGAGGCTGGCCCTGTGATGATTCCAATCCATGATATTCCCTAAGAACACAAAGGACTAACCTTTAGAGGACTGTAGAGAGTGTGGAGCTTTGGACTAGAGAAGTCCTAGAGTTAGGTAAACCTTCCGGGTCATTCAGGTTGGAGCTGGGAAAACTAGAATGTCAAGAGAAGAATGGACAGTGGAGTCCTGGCTCATGAGGTTTCAGAATAGGGTAAAACTCTCTTGGGAACTGGGACCATTCATGTGACATTGAGGCAAAGACTGGCTGTATTTCTGCTTATCTTTTGAGATTTGAGTGAGACTGAATTAAAAAGTAATGACATAATTTTCCCTTCAGAAAAGAGCAGGCTTCCTAGTGATATTAATAGAACACAGCATAACATGATGCCATAAGACTAGGCACAAACCCTCAGATCAAGGCTGGATGAGGCAACCCAGGAGGGGGAAAAGGGTGCAAAGAGCAGGCACAGCAGTCAGAGACATCCCCACTCTCCCTGTTAGGGGTCCAACAACAGCCCCAAGCTAAACCCCACAGCATGTATGTAGACGACCTAGCACAGACCCACACAGGCTCCGTGATTGCTGCTTCAGTCTTTGTGCGCCCCTATGAGTCCTGTTTAGTTGATTCTGTGGGCCATGTTCTCCTGGTGTTGACCCCTCTGACTCCTACAATCCTTCCTCCCCCTCTTACACAGGATTTCCTGAGTTCCACCTAATGTTTGGCTGTGGGTCTCTGCATCTGTTCCTGTCAACTGCTAGAGAAAGCCTCTCTGATTCCAACTGGGCTAGGCACCAATCTATGAGTATAGCAGAATATCATTAGGAATCACTTCATTCACTTTTTTTTCTCTTGTCAGTCATGTTTGGTTCTACCCTAGGTCTCTGAGCCATCCAGCTTCCGGATAATTAAAAAAACAATAGGCATTTCCTATTTGTATTATACCTTGGACATTGCTACTTTCATCACTGAAAAATCATCTGTCTCTAGTATAATAAAAATAAAGCCAATTGAAGCGTGTGTGTGCGTGTGCAAACACACACACACACACACACACACACACACACACACACACTAATGGAATTTTTGGTTGGTGGAGAAAATTTCAAGACAGGATAATATTTAGACTATGCCCTCCTTACTGCACTGCACTGTCCAGGTCCACAGAGGGAGGCCAGCAAGTCGCCTCCCATATATCCTCCTTGCTGTCTTTCACATTCATGGCCCTTTCCCACTAATTGTTCCTGCATGCATTATAGTTATGTGTATACACAGGTGTATTCCTAAATATGACATTTTGGGGGAAGAAGTGAGAAGGAGGTGAAAGTTGTGGACAAGGAGGGTGTGTGGACAGCAGCTGTTAAAGAGATGATTATCTGTTAGGAGAAACCTGTACTACATAATAGGACAGGGGCCCCCAGGCAAGACCAGCTTGCAGCAATGCAAATATGTTTGGAAGGAGACAGCCTGATTGGAGTGCTTCCTTGCTCCCAGGTGGCCATCTGTGTGGAGCGTTTCCCTAGGGTCAGCCCGAAGGACCTAGAGACTAACACAACTGCAGTCCAAGGGGATCTAGGTACATCGCGAGCTGAAAGCAGAACTTGGCCATGAGGTCCACCATGGCACTTGTCTTTCAGGCATGAAAGATGCACAAGTGAAGGGGTAAGGGGGGCTTTGTAATTCTTTATATTTTCTGAGATTATAATTACAGCATTTGTCCCCTCCTCTTCCTCCCTCCAAATCCTCCTGTATATCCCTTCTTGCTCACTTTCAAATTCATGACCTCTTTTTTTGTTAATTGTTATTGCATGCATGCATGTGTATTATATATATGTATACATACATATATATATATATGTATGTATACATATATTCCTAAATATGACCTACTCAGTCTGTATAATGTTACTTGCATGTCTGTTTTCAGGGATGATCATTAGGTATTGGATAACCAGTTGGTGTGCTCTTCTCTGGGGAAGGAAGACTTTCTCCCACTCTCAGCATTTTTTAGTTGCCTGTAGTTCTTTGTGCAGGGTTGAAGTCTCACAGACCTTTCCCTGGTCCACTTGGGCCTGTCTGTTATTGTCCTTGTTCAGCTCATATTTGGCAATGATGTTGGTGAGAGTTGACTGGCGTAGCTTTTGACATCACTAGGAGACACAATCTCACAGGAAACTCCCCGATCTAATGGCTAGTACAATCTTTCCACCCCTTCTTGCAGAATGTTCCCTGAGCCTTATAGGTGCAGGAGTGTTTTGCAGAAGTTTCCACTGGTACAGGAATCCACAATTCTGCATTTTGATTGCTTGTGGTTTTCTGTAGTGACCTCCCTTCCTCTGCTGTGGAGAAGTTTCCTTGATGAGGAGTGAAGACTATGCTTACCTGTGGTTATAAGGACAGATGTTTAGATTGTTGTTGGAGATTACACTGTCTTAGGAAAGTAGCCATTGTAGGCTCTCCTCCAATAACCATGATTGCACTAGCACTAAGTAGCTAGCTAGGTTTCCAGTACTAGACATGTTCTCCTTCTTATTGAGTGGGTCTTAAATTCAAGTAGAGAGCTATTGATTACCCCCAAGATGTGTGTGTCACTACTGTACCTCTAGGGTTGGTTATTGTGCTGTGCTCATCATTGACATGGTTCACAGCTGGGTAGGAGTCCTCAGTGAGGACTTTCAGGGAGGTGGCATTCAGATGAACTCCAGCTCAGGGGTCTCTGGTCCATGTGTCTGAAGTGCATGGCATCTTTTGTACTAGGGACATACTTTCCATCTCTAGGGCAACAGCAATAGGCTGTATGAGGACCCCTCATGTCTAGTATTGGTTTTTTTTGGTTAGGTGATCTTTGGTTCTTGGAGGGAGCACCATCAGCCCAGATGAGGAAAGTTCATCAAAATTATGTATGCATATTTATATACAGAATTACATGTATTATAGTGTTTTTTTGTATGATTCTTTATGGTGTTCTCAGACTTCCTTTTTTTTTTTTTTTTTCAAGACAGGGTTTCTCTGTGTAGCTTTGGTGCCTGTCCTGGATCTCGCTCTGTAGACCAGGCTGGCCTCGAACTTAGAGATCCGAATGGCTCTGCCTCCCGAGTGCTGGGATTAAAGACATGCGCCACTGCTGCCCGGCCTTCCTTGTTGTTAGTTTACTCTTTCCTTCTGTATTACTTTCCCCCCTTCCCTACAGAGTCCCCTTCCCTATTTCCCTGATCAGATCACTTGTACCCCGCTATTCCCTTTTCTGTTGTCCCCCTGACTCCGCTATCCTGGAAATGGTCTCATTTTACCTTCCTGGTTTTTTGCAGTCACTCCAGGCTGTGTACTCACATCTGAAGATTTGGAGCCAGGAGCCTCAGATGAGAGAGCACATGCTCTATTTGTCTTTCTGGCTCTGGATTACCTCACTCAATATTTTAGTATGGAGGCCTTTTTTATACCAACTTTCTAGAAAGCTACTGAGGCCAGGCCATGTATGACAGGGTCAGGTCCCTCGTAAGATCGTCCTTGGATGCCATAGTGTGAAACTGGGAAGGTGAAACCTGAATTGCACAGAGATCTGAAGATGTTCAAGATGTCAGGACCACAGCAGGCAGAGAAGAGTCACGTGCACTGTGAACAGAAGTGCTGGAGGGGCAGGGTTTTCTAAGGCCACTGGGACCCAGATGATGACACCACAACTCCCAGATGCTGGACATGAAGTGCAGGACTTGGTGTTTGCCCTGCTGGGTTTCACTCTCTCATTGGCATTGTCTTCCCTTGCTATGGCCTCATCTCCCATCTTGGAATGGGAATGTTTACTCTGCTATATTTTATATTGAATGTATGCAACTTGTTTTTTGATTTTATAGGGACTCACAATCAAGAGTTTGTCTCGAGTCTCAGTAGCATCTTTGGACTTTTGAGCAGTATTGGGATCATTAAAGACTGTGGGAACTCTCAGAGGTAGACTAAATGTACTTTGTATTATGAGATGAAATGAGGCTTTAGGGGCCAAGGTGGGATGTTCTGATTTAAAATGATGTGTTTGGATGTCATGTCGACAAGGGTGGAGTTGTGATGGCTAATCTTCATTATCTGTGTGACTAGAGTTAGAAACAGCCATTTCCTCTAACTGTTAGTGTTAAATACTTGAAAAAAAGTGGGAGCAAATTAAATGTCCTTTAAAACTAATGCATAATGAAAATGGAATACTCTTTGGCTGTAAAGAAAAATGAAATCATGACATTTTTGGGTAAACGAATGGAACTTGAAAGTATCATATTGAATTAGATAACCCAGACCTGGAAAGTCAAGTGCTTCATTTTCTTTCTCATTTGTGGGAGAGAAATTCTAACTCCAGTTCCTCAGATATGAGTACAGAACTTGAAGAAACTACAGAAATCAGGAAAGTAAAAAGTGACGACGGGGAAGGCGCTGTAGAGAACAGAATCAGAGGATATGGGGAGGGGGGAATGGGAAAAATGTGGGTGCTTTACTTGAGAAGTGAGGAGAGAAAAGGGGGGGCATAGAGAAGGAAAGGGAGGAGGGGTAAATAACATTAAGGATTTGAAAAAGCCATAGGGAATGATACTATTTGATATTTACCTAAAACTGCATGTAATACATAAGAGTATGCACACACACACACACACATGCACACACACACACACACACACACACACACACACACACACACACACATTGAAATTTTGTCATTTGACATAATGTTCCCCTAAGAGTCTTAGACTACTTAACAAAAACACCATGAGACACCTTCTTTTGAGTTGTTGGTCAGGGAGTATAC